TCAGGTGATGTACCATAGACCCCCCCCTTCATCCCCACCAAAAAAAAAAAAAAAAAAAGATCCTCCATCCCAGGGAGCCTAAGGACCCCCACCCCCACACCTCCCTACCCTTCCAGACCACCCCATCAGGGGAGGGGGAAGGGCTTCTTAACCCCCTCTGGCTCAAACACCCTTTTTAAGCCAGAGAGAAATGTAATTTGTTCCTTTTGTCTAAAGATCTGCTAAATATTTCAGTCCTTGAGCTAAAATAACTTCCTCCCTGGACAGGAAGTGGTGTTTTATCAAGCCATTTTGAAAGAGGGATAATTCTTAGAGAATCTAAAGCTCAGTTTAAATACTAATCTTTTAAAAAAATTAACCCCCCATGGGTAAAATGGTTCCTAAATAGAAGCAAAACCTCAATTTCATAAATTAAATTCAAGTCTTGCCTTCTTTATGATGTCTAAAAATCACCTAAGGATTATGTTTAAGGGGGAATTTACCATCCCAACTGGAAGAAAGGGGTAATTTTTACAACTCAAGAGCGCCTCCCTAGTGTTCAGTTGCGCTAGAGCAAAAGTTAATAAAACGAGTTTTTATTCAAGAATCTCAATTTTTCTTTATACTTTCACATAATTCTTTAACCCATTATATATAACCTTGGAAACTTTACCCCCCCAAAAAAAACTTCTCATAACCATAATATATTTACTTCCTACAATGATTCAGGCAAAAAAAAGTTCTTCTAATTCAAGAGTATGGACCAACCATGGTCACCTTTAAATCAGAAACCCAAGAAACTACAACTCCAGACCAACAGAACACACATATCCCAAGCCTTCCCTTATATTTCACATCAAATTCTAAGTATACATCCACTTCAACAATGGTAAATTATTAACAGTAGGTCAAATCTGATGGCAAATTATCGAAGTAATGCCACTGTGAAAATTCTCCTAAATATCAAAACCATGAGATCTACAGAAACAAGTTACTAATGCCAAAAACAATTATTCAATATCCTCACCAAGCAAGCACAGGCATACAAGTAAACATAACAGCACTCCCCAAAAAATCCAATCAATATTCCTTATTCAACATTATAATCTGCCAGAAACACGTTCTTCTCTGAGAAAGAAATCCATTTCAGATCTACACTCAACAAAAGCAACAATGTAGAATCTAGGTAAATATAAAATCCATAATCAAAACTGTTTCAATTCCATACTTTCTACATAAAGTCAACTTACGTACCAAAGTCAAAATCCAAAATTCCACTTTTGAATGAATACAAAGACCAACCACCTCAAATCAATGAAAACAAATATTGCACATGTATTGATCATGGATGTGTATGCTATGATATCAGTAATCACACACACAGTATGATTAAATATTTCCAACAAAAAACTTAACTTGAACTCTTCCTTGTTCAATGTGTAACAGGAAAATATAATGAAAGAATTAATTTGGTTTACCAACATAAAGCCTACCACCTTTTTAACAGTGACTGAAACTGGAATTAGATGATTAGCAATACATGAAAACCTAGCATTTGAAATTCAGACATAAGTAATCTGTGCCATGGTGTGATTTCATTTATTCTAAATTCCCAATTGTACAGAATAAGTAAAACACAAGATATATATCCTACTTCAAATTTACATTAAATGTACTATACACATTATTGCCGCAAAATTTTAAGTTTGGTGAATACCCTAAAGACACTTCCCTATAAATCCAACACTTCTTCCTCTAATATTAAGACAATAGGAGAAATCAGTTTAAATTTTCATATGAATATTCTATTGCTAGGGTGAATACCCTAAAGACACTTCCCTATAAATCCAACACTTCTTCCTCTAATATTAAGACAACAGGAGAAATCAGTTTAAATTTTCATATGAATATTCTATTGCTAGATGTTTTATTTATAATATTAAAATGCATTAAGTAAAAGGCACCATTTCCATCAATATAAAATAATTCAGAGAAATTCTGTAATTCATGCTGAGTTTAGAGGCAACAAGCATTTGTTTTAAAACTTCATTAGAATCTCATGATTAAGTTTGTTTTGCAGGGTGTTTCAAGAAAGCACAAACAAAATAGCATTTCAACCAAATGACCATCTCAAAGCACAGATAAATTTCCACAACTTTGTGAAAAAAAGATAAATCTTAACCAAGTTAAAACATTTTCTAGCATACCATTTTCATTTTACCAGCTTTATTCAGTAAACTTTACCACTGGGCAACTGTAAAGGTCAAAGTGTTATTAAGGCAATAACTACACATTTAATAAAACTTGCATTTTTTTTAAAAAAAGCCCAAACTGAGATATTTTAAAGTGTTAGAGAAATTTTATTAAAATTAACATTCCACGAGGTAATAATCATACAAATCAAATGGCAAAAAATTCCAGGCATACAAACTATCATCTGTGTTAATGTGCCATCCTTCTTCTTCAAATGTCAAAAATGTACTTGTTTTAATGATACAAAAAGTCTTTGGAAAGTCAAATCCACTGTCCATTTATGTTGGGTAAGAAACCTATGTCTTCATTCATTTCATGGAATCCATGTTAAAAGAACCCTGTCTTGGTTGCATATTATCACAGCACTCTTGTATTAATCCATTCTCCTCAATTCCCCATAGTGGACTGCCATCTTGATTTCTCAGTGGTACGGTCCATTTGAGACTCTTCAAGCTGACTGGGTGCTTGATGAAAAAATTAAAAGAAAAAAATGGTGTTGGAATACCAATAATCTTATTCTTTCAAACAGAAAACATCCACCCACCTTGAAGATATCCTACCATACACAAAGCTTTAATTTTGTAACAGCTTTCAACTAAGAAACTGTATTATATTAAAATTGTATGCAATGCACACACACAACTTTCTCAATGGTAGGGTCAAAAAGACTACACAGAAGTAACAAAGTTCTACTGTCACAGATACATTTGTATCCATAAAAAAGGGGCAGTGAAGAGTCAAATTTTTAATATTTAACACTAACATGGTTATACTGTGTATATAAAAAGTAAAAACAAAAATTAAGATTCAAAATTCCTGGAAAGCTAAATTACAGAAACGCTGTGGATTCTAAATTTCAATGCAGAAAACTTTCCAAGCTTCTTCAAAGAAAACTAATTATAGAAAAGAATCTTAAGGGATTCACACACACACAAAAAAAGCAGTGGATCACAGTATAGTTTTCCAGTCCAACAGATGTTAATTTTGTTTAGATAACACAAAAGGCCAATATAGATGGTACCAACTTTAGCTACATTTCTGAGAATGCAGAAAATATGCAGCCACCACAAAAAAGATGATCAAATATGCAAAATATCTCCCTGGTTTATTTGATATTTGCCATAAAATGCTATCAGTTTTCAAATTATGTACAACTAAAATAAAACATGCTCATTGACAAAATATCAAACGTTTCTCATGGAAAAATAAATCCATTACTTAAATAATTTGAATTGAAGCAAGAAGTGGGAAGCCAAGTGATCTTGTCATTAAATAAATGATCCAGATTCATCATGATCAAACATAATTAGAAAAACAAGTTTTAAATCCTGGTCTTTATAAATTTTGTAGCTCTCCAAATGAATTTGTGGAGATAGAGCCAGGGTGACTGACTTGGAGGTAAACAAATATAAGGGCATTTTTGCTCATTAGGTCATTTTCTTGTCTTCCCAAATAATTAGCACATGTCTACTACATACAATACAAAAATCTACTTAAAAAACTATTTGGTTAACCAAGCAATAATGCCACCCATATTAAAAAACATTGACTGGGGCCGGCCCGGTGGCGCACTATCCAGTGCGCCACTTGGGAAGCGCGGAGGCGCTCCCGCCCAAGGGTTCGGATCCCACATACAGACCGGTTCCCGCTCACTGGCTGAGCGAGGCGCGGGAGCAACACCGAGGGTTGCGATCCCGTTGCCGGTCCCCGGTCCGGTACGGGGGCAACACTGAGGGTTGCGATCCACTGCCGGACACGGAAAAAGACAAAAGACAAAA